TCGTATATCTAAAGTAAAACAACTTTTTTTCAACGGCAACGGTTTATCTTTCTAATCACAAATTATACCATCTTGTTGAGAATTTTGAGCTCTACCTACCCTGTAAATTGCTAGTCCTTACAATACTTTTACTTTCTTCCAGCCATTTTTGCTGTTGACATTTGATGGGAGGGTTATTGAATTTTAACAAGATTTTTACATTAGTAGGTAGAGAAATGTTCCGTCTATCTACCTGCGAGTTGTCGTTTTTTTCGGAGTAAAAATGCTTCAAGTACGCTCAAAATACTGTGAAAATTAGAGAAGCTGTCCCGAATTACCCCAAGCTACTCTATTTTAAACAATGTCGATAGCCATTGTCTAAATAAGAATGAAGTCAATCGAAAACTAATTTCTAGCGACAAAGAGAAAACACTTACGGTGGTGTAAAACTTGTATTATCTGCTCGGTCACAGCATATTTTCGCAGATTTGGTAATTTGTGAATCAAATCGTTGTGTTTGTTCAATAAATTCTGGCTCTGTACGTAGGAGACATTGACCATCTGATGCATTTGATAGACGTTCTCGCTTGAAAGCTGATGGTAATGTGTGAAATGTTTCACGACTGATATCAATCATATCGCCTAAATCTTTATCTTTTAAATCATATATAATTTTATTTATGGCTTCCACATGGTTATTTATATTCGGACCGACTTTTTGATTTAATATAAAATGTAATTTTGGTTGTGATACTTTACCAACTCCTAATTGTTTTAATGAATCAGTACATAGTGTTAGGAGATCCTTTAATGTTTCATTAACATCAACACCAACTATGATGTTTACTAGGGAATGCTTCTGTACACTTGTACCTTTTACACAACAAGAATTTCTTCTTCTCTTCGACTATGCTTGCACAGTAAATGATACGCTTCTCAATATTTATTTTTTTTGTTCCTTCTGTTCCTTTATTGTATTATGTTCTATGGTAGCAAACACCAACTATGATATTAGGGTAGAAAGCAGTCTTTACTACCGACACAATCAAAAACGTAAAAAGTTGGTAAAAGAAATGAGAACTATGTATTGTTAGATATACGG